TAGGATATGTCAGTTCCTCACTGCCAAAACATCTAATTAGTTCAAAATTGTTATTACATACAACTACATGTTTGTTACTAACATCTGTTATGAAATAATCACCATCCTGTGACTCTGCAGCAAAGCATGGACAGAATGATTTATTAAAACCAGTGAATTGAATCATTCGTTTATGTTTTCCATCAAAAGTCAGTAATTGAAGTCTATTATTTCCCCTGTCACAAACTAATACATTCCCCTCACTGGTTATCAGGACACTCTCAGGATAGTAAAACCGACTCACTCCTGATCCTTTCCTACCATATTTACCCATCAACCCCTTCTTAGGAATTACATTAATCTTAACAGGTGAACCCTGCACTGATTTGTTATTCACTAAAACTGTCAATTCATGCACCCCTTTTACCTTAGCCCGATATGTCAGACTACAAGTCCCGTCTTTATTGTCAGTCACTTCCACTTCTTCTGTCGTGTTGGGTGGAGTCAACATTTCAGATTGGATTTTCTGTTTTAATGTTACACAGTCCACCACATTGCCACCAGTTGTTGCCATGGTTATGGATACATCATCACCAATCCTATGATATGTGGATACATCTTTCATCTCCAAAATGTATTTGTTGTGAAGTATCTCACCCAGAGTTTTGGTCTCACAGAAGTCATCATAGCTTTGAAACTCCATGTAGTCGTGTTCAGCCGGATGCTGTTTGGTTTTTAGTTTCAGCAGTTCATCTATCTGTGACGTCATTCCCTTCTTAGCAGACATCAGCTGTGCAGCATTCCCATAATTCATTAGGTGTGTGGCAAAGTCATGTGCATGTTTCATATCATTTTCTGCAATTTCAAGTTCTTTCATTTGCGTATGCAAATTTTGTTTTCTCTCACTGAAAATCTTGTTCATTTCATGCAACAATTCTTCACCGTTTTTACGAATTTTAGCCGTGATTTCTGCCACCACCCTCTCAATGTGAACATTTAGTTTATGTTCTTGTTCACTAAATCGATTTTCTAGCAGTTCTGTCATCCGCTGAACGTTTTCTTTGCTGTCCCTCGCTTCTTTTTCTTTCTCTGCTAGCATGTCTGTCACCTTGGTCAAATCCGCGGCATACTGGGAGGCGGTGTCTTTCAAATATCGGTAATCATGTTCGGTTATTTTATGATTTAGTGCGGTACACTCCAGGCAAATTGGAACATCGCAGGTATCACAATAGAATTTCAGCTGGTTACCAGGGTGACTACCGCAGTAAACATGTGGTTGGACCGTAGCAATGTCAACGGACTTTGCAGCCTCAAACGTTTGTCGTGACATCAGGTTGTGGGACTTCGTAGACGGAAGTCGTTTATGGGTCGATATACAAATGTCACATAGTCCTATTGCACAATCAATACAATGGGTGGTCATCGGATCTCGCTGACACCCTTCACATTTGTGTACTTCGTTTGTCTTTTTGTCTCGTTTTCCAAGTAAGACGACCAACTCGTTTAGAAATACGTTCGACTGCACACTGCTGGCTCCTTCTGGGAGGTCATGAACTCGTCTACACACTGGGCAGGGTATATTCTTACCTCCCGATTTCTGTACCAGTTTGTGGATACACTGCTCACAGAAACTGTGCAGACACGGTAGAATCTTAGCATTACGGTATCTCTCAGAACACACCGTACAAACAAGAAAGTTGTCATCGATTTCTTCTAGTATTTTTGATTCAGCCGTAGCCATGACGCGACGTAGTCTTTATTGGCTCTAGCGTGTCATGGGATGATCACGTGACATAAATACCCGGAAAAAGTCGATCATTTTTATACAAAGAAGGACATGGACAGAACACGTGAGTTGGCGAACGTGTTCCGGGTTAGAATTAGATGTGCCGTAGGTCATGCCAAATATTTCTGCTCAATACTTTGTTCATCCTCGTTCAGAAAATATTATTTTGAAATGGTTACAGAGGGAGGAAATCTATGAATGGCAATACGATTGAAATCTTCTTCCATTCAAAATTACAATATATACTGAGTTGAGAGAATTTCAATGGAAGTTAAACTATGATTTATTGTTAACAAATCTGAAATGAACAACATCTTACTACAAAAATGTAAATCAACTATATGTACTAGTTCTAACTGTAAAGATGAAAATAAAACATTGTTACTTTTTATGGTTTAATATCCTCTGATAGAAATATATTTTAACAATTAAGTTCTTAAAGGGATGGGGAAAAGTTAGGGTAGAGAAATCCCTCGGCACAGAATCAATCATACTTGATACCCAATATTTTAAACACTTCTAAATTTCTACAAATTTCATAAAATTATCCGTTCACTGCGAGATCTCGCGTAGCTCCTGAAACGTGTGGACTGAACGCCTGCTACAAAAAATCGTTGATATGCCCTTCAAACCCATTCTCCAGCAAAATTGACCATCATCAAATGTGTCTAACATTATTAAGCGTGAAAATGACCAACAACATAGTTTCGCGTTTGTCAAATCTCACGCGAATTTCTGACTTTGCTACGATGCTATAGTCTTTGTTTCTCCTGTTTTTACAGTCAATTTCGCGTATAACGTGGGATACCACAGTAAACGGAAAATGGTCTCTTCTGTCTTGTATTTATGCTGTAACACTATAAATAATGCTGTGTTCATGTTACCGTGGAACTATAACTTCATGATTCCACGTAATAAATCAGTGAACAATGCCATGTGATTTATGACCAACTTTCTCAAAACTCGTAAGTTGGCTGGACATTTGTGTGGATAAACATTGATTTTCCCATAACCCAATGCGATTTCCCCACAATCCAATGTGCTCTTCTAATGGAAATCACGAGTATTACAAGTTTTTATCTGAGCGTAACGTGCACTAATTTTGACTAAATTTATATTTATACCCACACAGGTTATACCTGTATTCCTTTGTCCGGTCGGAAACATTCAGGAAGTACTAGTTTCAATATGATTTATAGTCCGCCCTCTACAGGTGAGTGTCTAGACTATTTCTATAAAGTTAATATTACAAGTTGTAAAATTTTTAAACATGTAATTTGTTATAAATTTATATGCCTTAGTGATAAATAAGCTATAACATTCTACAGCCAGTTTCGACCAATCAGCTAATGACATTAGCCGTGATTGAGCAAAGAAACTCAAAGATCTTCTTTCGCCAATGAAAACTTCCTTGGTTGAATTGAATGCATGTATTTCCCGTAGTAAATGAAACAATGCATGTCATTCACTAACAACAATCAACAATACAAAATAAAATCCTAGTCAATTGTTCATGCTGTTTTTACAAGCCCCAGTACGAGTGTGATCGTGTTGGAGAAGTTCGGATTCAAGTTGTCCCAATATAGGCTTAGTTCTAACAAAGTTCAGAACAAGATATATCCCATATACAGTCAAACCTGTGTATAACGATTATCCAAAGCGATCTTTATATGAAGGTTGGATTATTTTTTTTATGGATGTAATGAAATGGTACTTTCGCAACAAAACTTTTATTTCAAATCCAAATCAAATAATTAATATTTTGGTCTCTAAACAGACATGAAGCAACAAAATTATTGCTGAAAGAGGGGTCACAGGGGTATACAGGTGGTCTTTATATACAGGGTGCTCATACATTATGTCCCGGGACTTCCTAAAAGTGGTCACTATAGACAGGTGGTCTTTATACACAGGGTGCTCATATGTTATGTCCTGGGACTGCCTTAAA